CCCCCCCCCCCCCCCACGGTGTCTCTCACACACGCGCACAAACTTACACACTGTTCCCGCTCCTCGTCTTTTTCTCGATGTTCGCTTGAGATAAGCGAGAAGATTCCGCTGCATCCTGATTCCTCGTTTTCTCTCCTTCCCTTCTTGGGTTCGTTTCCTGTCTGTTTGGGTGTACGTCATTCTCTCCCTCTTATTGTCGTATACTGCTTCAGGAGGCATTGCAGTGGAATTTTCGCAATGCCTTCCGTATGCATGTTGCAGGTGGAACGTTCTATGCATTTGTGCACGTTTTCCCTGCTGGGTGCATTTGTTGCACTTTTGCGTGTTGTTCTCTTTAGATTTTTTACCTATCTGTGTTCCCACCTGCTCCTTCTCAAGTCTTCTCCTCTTTGCCCCTTCTCCGGCGCCCTCGCTGTGTTGTCTTTCCTAGTCTTATTGCTCCTACAAGTAGCCAGAAGTGAACAAATCGGGGGCCGTCCTCCGTCCTGCGCGCCATCGTTTCATGTGTGACGTGTTCTCTCCTGACCTTACTTCCCTCCACCGAGTAGAGAAACTCGAACGAGGAGAGAGAGAGAGCTGCAGTTGAGTGGATTCTCTGGCGCGTTCTCTTGGCTCGTCAATGGGGGGCAGGAGAAAACGGCGTGGGGAAATCTCTCTTTTTCGATCTCGTTTGTGCCCTTTTTCACCGTTAGATGGAAAGAACAGCATATTAACTCGGCGTTTGAAAGAAATAAGGACATAACTCGCCGTTAGAAAGAGAGAATTACTATAAAAAAAAAAGAAAAAAAAAAAAGAAAGAGAGAATTACTTAACTCGGCGTTAGGAAGAAAGAGTAGCATGCATAACTCGGAATCAGCGTTTTACGATATGCTGGGCCCGTAGTTGTGGCGACGGTAACAGTCATGCCGTCGCGCGCGATTATGATAAGTAATTTGCTTACTTATTAGTCTGACTCTGTCTGAGATCATATAAGTATGATAATTTTTATCCTGATGATTATCGTCGAGACTGTCTTCTTCTTCACAGACAGGTGGATGCGGGAGTGTGGTGTGCCCCTCGATAAGCCCTGGAGCGCAGCCAGGCGAAACGCGTCGGGGAATGTGCGCGTTTGTGAGCTTCAATGTCCATGCAGGCTACTGAATACTTCTTTTAAGCGTGGACACGTGGTGATTGACCTCGCCATTACTGTTTCGTTCTTCTTCCCGACAGTGTCTGTACACACGGCCGCTGGCATTGATTGGGAAGGAAAGCCTATCTTTGGTTCTTTTAAAAAAGAATAGAGCGATTGGCACCTCCCTGATCACCTATCTGAAATCGAACAGATTCTCAAGCAACGGCTAAAGCTCCTTTGTATGTGGGGAAATCCATACGAAATGGAGGCAAGCGCGGCGAGCCGTATGGGCCTAAGAGGACAGGATGAAACGCGGAATGGAACAGAGGAGCTGAAACGGAGAGCCAAACGGAAAATAGAAGCCGTCTGAGTCTAACGGTAGATTAAACTGTGAATCAAACGGAGAATCTAAAACAGAGAAATGGAAGGGAGGATTTCTCTAATAGAGAACCGAGAACTGAACAATCCAAGGTCTTAACTTGGTTGCCGTCGCCATTACCTCTAGTTCTGTTCTGTGTCGTCTGTTCTAGTTTTCCCTCCTACCCCTGATGATTTGCCCTGTTTTCCCTCCTACCCCTGATTCAGACGACGCACGAGCAATGGTAAAACCAAGCTAAGGGCTTTGGTGGCCGTCGCGATTAGCTTAGTTCTGTTCCCCGTTTTCCCTTCTACCCCTGATGCTGACGGCGCATTAGTAATGGTGAAACTAGTTAAGGGCTTAACTTGGTGGCCGTCACGATTAGCTCAGTTCTTTCTTTTTGCGTCTATGTTTCTTCTCAGCGGCTTCTGTGCCCTGTTTTCCCTCCTACCCCTGATGCAGACGCCGAACAACTAATGGTAAAAAGTTTAACTAACCGTTATGGTTAAATGGTTTAGCTAACGGTAAAAAGTTTAGTTTTAGGTAACGGTAAAAAAGTTTAGTTTAGGTAACGGTAAAAAGTTTAGTTTTAGGTAACGGTAAAAAGTTTAGTTTTTTTTTTTTTTTGTCCTTGGGGACATCCGTTAAAATTGGAACGTACAGAGAAGGAAGATTAGCATGGCCCCTGCGCAAGGATGACACGCAGAAATCGAGAAATGGTCCAAATTAAAAAAAAAAAAAAAAAAGTTGTTTAGGTAACGGTAAAAAGTTTAGTTTTAGGTAACGGTCAAAAGTTTAGTTTTAGGTAACGGTAAAAAGTTGAGTCTCGCCTCGACGCGCTCTTTAGTGCTCTCTTCTTGATGAACTAGTGGCTTTGGATGAGATGAGGTAGAGGACATACCTAGTATGTCTTTTTTTTTCTTTTTTTTTTCTTTTTCTTTTTTTTTAATATCATAATGTCGTATTTTACTAGTTTCGTATGTCGTTGCTTTGACATCGACGGCGCTCGTAGATTGCTCGTGCAGTCGTCAAGTTGCTTGGCTCTCGCGTCCATCGTCCATTTTCTTCAGGATGTTTTGCGAGACCTTGTTTTCTAGTCTCGCCGAAGAAAGGCGGAGGGTGCGTTTTGGCTTGAGTGGGTAGTTTTGGGAGGACGGATAGGATAGGTAAACTGGGGGTATTCTGGACACAAAAGAAAAACATTGAATTTGGGAGGGCAGATAGATAAACTGCGAGTATCGGGTCACGTTGGTCGTGTTGTGTTGTTGTAGTTCTCTCGCTTCCCGGGGGACAGAAAAAAAAGAGCCGTCGAGAAAACTTATGTGTCTGAGAAGACACAGAAAAAAAAACATTGAATTTGATAGAACTTAGAAGCATTGCCATCCTTGGGAGCATTTCAAATCATTGATGTTCTTATTTTACTCCGAGTTGTGAGAAAATAGTGAAGTGTTATTTTCGAGTGAACAGCTTTTGGCTTTTCCGTGAGAATGGCACCACCATTGCTTCAAGTTGTAGAGGCATTCATCAGCAAACTAGAGGAGGAGGTGTGGTGTGCGCACGACTCAGTCGATCCGTCGACTCCGTCCACTCAGTCGGTCAGATCTGTCTTGCTCAATTGCGTGGTGCTTTTGCCATTCAACATCGCTCTCTCTCTCTCTCTCTCTCTCTCTCTCTCTCTCTCTCTCTCTCTCTCTCTCTCTCTCTCTCTCTCTCTCTCTCTCTCTCTNCTCTCTCTCTGTGTGTGTGTGTGTGTGTGTGTGTGCTTGCTCTCCTTTTGTTTTTAATTAAGGGGGAAGGGTCCCCGAAGATCAAAAAAAGTTGACGAAGTGCTGTGGAATATACGGTATATCTTTGCTTTGGCTAGCGAGCTTAGACTGTTGAAAGCGAAAAGCGAAAAGCAAAAAAGAAGGAAAAAAACAATTGAATGAGGTGCGGTTTTCTTTTTTTTTTCAAATGCTAATTCTTAAGCCCAACCAATTCGAGTACCTGTCAAAAAAAAAAAAAAAGAGAGAGAGTACCTGTGGCAGTCGCATCCATTATAAAACCAAAAACAATGAAGTGATGCTCGAAAAACACAGAGAAGAAGGCTCAAAACGTATCGTTGTACTGGTGATTGATTTTTCCTTTGGCTAGAGAGCCTACGACAGTTAAAAGTTCAACGCAAGAAAAATAAAAATGAATGGAATGAGGTGGGTTTCATCATATAAGAGAACACCAGGAATTTCGTTGCTTTGAAACAAAATGGAGAAAGGATTAGTGACTGATCTGTCGTCTGGCTAGCGAGAGAGAGCCTACGACCTTTGCATTTTTTCTGGCTCGAGAAAAGAATTCACATTATGAACAACAAGAATGGTGTGGGATAATGATGATGAGGAGAGAGAGGAGGAATAGCGTCAAGCAATGGCCAATATAATGAAGGATTAGATGATATTTAACAAGTGTGTTTCTTCGTGCAAGATGTTTCAACTAAATAGAACCACATGCAAAAAGATTTGTGCCATAACTCTGCGTGTTTAGGACTAAGACTCTACCGCACGTGCATCCCTGTGTGGTCATCAGAGATTTCCACGAAGTATGACAAGACACACTAACAAAGATTTGTGCTAGGACTCTGCTTGTTCGGATGTTTGGACCGAATATGAGAGCAGACAAACAGTGATTTGTACGTAGAACTCGGTGCGTGTTGGTGTCGCAAAACATCTGAACGCGCGCACTCCCCCCAAATTATACAGGAAAGGACACCAGTGATGTATTTGGATTGATGTATAGTGTGAAAGATAAGCAATACTTTGCAGTCGATGCAGTCGTCTTCCTGAGTAGAACGCGTATGCGTCTTGACTCTTTGAAATCTTGTTCCGACGGAGTTGTGATGCGTGCTCGCGTTTTTTTTTTTTTTTGATTCCTGTTCGTGTTTTATGGCGGGAGGACAACAGCGCCCGGCGAAGGTGGTGGAAGACAACAGCGTGCTTCTTCCTTGTGAGGTGTCTGCCGTATTCGTCAGCAAAAGGCTGTGGCCGTCATACTACTGTAGGATGACTACCTCAGCACGTTCCTCTGTCCGTTACTACGATGCGTCGGTTCTCTGTAGATGTTGGCAGTGTGATGATCACCGGTGGGGTACCTCTGGTGGGGTACCTGCGCAAGTCACTGTGCCGAAGCTAAACGCCGTTTCGCCAGACTGGTGTATTTCTTCTGCTTTTTCTTTTTCTTTCTTTTTCTTTTCTTTTTTTTTTAAAGAATATAATTTCCTTTTTTTTTTTTTTTTTTTTTTTTGAAAAGTTACCGCTTTGTATTGCAAATAACAGAAGAAACCATGGAGTTGTCGGAATACCACTATACTTCACAGTTCATCCAAGAGCAACGAAAGCCAAAACGCAGCAAGGTCATCACACACTGCACTCGGGACCCGAAAAGAGAAAGGGAAAGAGAGAAAGAGAGAGAGAGAGAGAAGGGGAGAGAGGGAGAGGTAGACTGACAAGGTGGAAGGGGAAGCAGCATAAGATAGGACCATAGTCAGGTGAATCTCGAACGCGACGTTATCCTAAGGTAAAATTGAAACACATCTTCCGGACATTACATCCGGTTGGCGTATGACCCGAGGCCGGGGATTTCTTCTGCTTTTACGTTTTCAATCTAGATCAATCTGGATTTGAACTGAGGGCTGTATTTCAACAGCTCGTAGGTGTACCAACTGAGATAAAGGCCAGATGATGATTTGTACCGAATCATGCAAACGTCATGTGTACTGAACGTCCCTTTTGTATTCGTTCCACACCACTTGGAATTGGTTGTTTTTCAAGGGAGCCTCGTACCCTTGAAATAGGTAATCAAAATGCCAGTTTTTAGGGCCTCGTTCACACCACTTGGAATTCGTTGTTTTTCAAGGGAGCCTAGTACCCTTGAAAGAGGTAACTGTTTCCACATCCCCACGGCCAAGTGTCCGCCCTTGAAACAGAAGTGTGGCCGAGTGCGGCCCAGCCAAATCAACGAAAACCCCAAGGGTGCCTCTGTTGGTCACTTGGGGCGCAAGGGCTGGACCCTACGAGACGGGTAATACACAGACCTTTTTCTTTGCTTTCGGATTTTTCCACCAATCACCACTGTTCCTGGTGCAATGCGGTCGGCACGTCAGTTTCAAGGACGGCCGTCTCAAGGGTTTCGTCAAGGGGTTGTGGAACGAAAAAAAAAGTTAGGGGAAATTAATCACCTTCCGTGAGTTAGGGGAAATTAATCACCTTCCGTTCGACACCACTTGTTGCATGGGAAATTGATCACCTTTCAAGTGGTGTCCATCGAGGCTCTTAGGAATGCAGTGTTGCTACACACATTCCTAAAAGTTGCTTCCTGACAAAAGGAGTGAAAACAGCGTTAGGACTAGTCCTAAACAAAATAGGAATCCCCAGCCAAAAGTACCCGAAAAATGAAGCTCCTCGCGAGGAGCTTTAAAATTCGGAGGAACAATGTGTCCGTGTGGAGAGGGCATCCTCCCAAGATGAACCGTGGTGGCACCCCATTGGCTGAAACCCTGACGTACAGATTCTTTTCTTTTCTTTTTCTTTGTGATGACAACTTTCTTTTAGGACTGGGTCCTAAACAATGTTTTTTTAGGAATACGTGTAACCGCGGCGCCACAATTCCTAAAATTCTTTTAGGACTGGTCCGAAATCTCTTAGGATTCCTTTAGGAGTGTCTAGAGCCCCTTATTCCTTTTATTTCCCCTTTAGTCGAACACCTTTCCAGAGAACTATCCAGGTGTATCCAGGTGGCGGTAGGAGCACGAAGCCAATTGGAGTTGCCATTTTCATGGCTGCAGTCCATGCAGTCCTCTTTGTCCCTGTCTCCTTTACAATGTGATGGCTCCAGTCTGTTTCTGGGGGACTGCACAAGCTGGAAAGGGGTCCAGCATCTTGGATTGTACAAATTGTGAGCCTCTTCACTCTTGCAAGGGTGCCTCATAAGAGCAATCACGGCTAGCACCCCAAGGGAGACTCCATCTTCTGGTGGGGAGTGTCACCTGCTGGGCGGGTCTAGCAACCCATTTGCAGCAGTTTCTGAGATTTGTCTGAGGAGTATGAGAATGGGCCTGCCAGCATTGATTACCCTGAGTTCCAGGGGATTGACTGAACAGATTATGAGAGAAGATGGGAACCAGGGGCTGCCTCTCCTTGTCGCCCTTCAACACAATTGTTAGTCGGTTTGGGCAACTTTCCTGAGTTTTTTTCTTCTATCTGCCTGTAGCTACTTTTCCTCTAGTCCTCTGTCTTCTCTCTTTTCAGAGGCCGTACCATGCATTCTCCACTAGCGACAAGGTGTTGGGCAGGAAGGGATCCGGAAAATCAGATGGGGGACGGAGTGGCAGGGATGGATCCAGGTCTCTCCAGCTATTGAAGACTAACCTTTAGTTCCTCTGTATCTTCCTTGGATCCTCGCCGATTGTCGTGTTCCCATATCTGCCAGGCCCTCCCTCCCATTTGATTGATGCTATCCAACCCCCTTGTTCTCCCACCAACCTTTCCTGACTGAACTTGGCTATTGCCTTTTGTATCTCTCTCAAGTCGTTTAGGAATGTCAACTTGCCCATCATTGTCTGCCATTTTGTTTGTAGGTTTGTTTGTATGTGTTCTTTTATGTGCTCAGTAGCCTCTTGTCCTTCCACATTTACCTTACGAATGGCAAGGATGCATCTCTTCCACCATAAGGTCCACAAGATTGCCCGTCTACTTAGCTGGACTCGATTGTTCTTTCGTCTGGCCTTGAGGCCAGTGTCCCGCGAGGATGGCTCTCCAATCCTAAGTCCAGTCGTTGTCTCCTTCCATATTATGTCCGACCAATCGTTGAACGCCAAGTAAGGACGGCTCCCTGTGACGCTCAACCTCTCCGCTTTCACTGTCAGAGTGACTAAAGCGCGAAAAGGGGCCCGAAAAGCGGCAAAATGGGGTATGCCAAGGATTCCTGGAAAATTGAGTATGGAGACATAGACAAAACTGAAATCTCTTGTGTGGTCCCAGATATGGAGTGGCGAAGAATAACCAAAAAGGATAAGGAAGCAGGCCCTTTTCCTCAATGGCTATCTAATCCAAAAAGTATCTATGAACTTCGATGCGCGTGGTGCGACGTCTCTTTTTGGGTCGAAAAGGGTGGGGAATGCACGTCGGGTCTCGGTTTCGAACAAGGGACAAATGTCGTTCGCCGCAAAGTTCCGAATCTGAAAATGAGGGTCGTAGCCTCATTGCTTTCTGCTTGGATTCCTCCTCGCCACGTGTACGATAGTTGGACCCTTGGGCTTGAAATCGCTCCGTGTTGCAACAATCGCTACACAGAGTCCGAGGCCAATGGGGCGCAACCGTCGGCCACGGGACGGCGATCAGCTCGTTGAAGGGGAGCAGAATGGAATAAGGAGGGTAATGAATGTCGACAATCACAAAACCTACGTTAACAACACATGAACACCGTGCTTTGGAAGGCAAGTGATATGGGCCGCGTATCTTGGCGATAACTTCTCGTACGTCCCACTCGCAAACAGGTTTTTTGTCCTCACTGTACAGGAAAGGTCGCTCGCGTGAAGGTTGTGGAAGTTGACACCCCGACGGCTGCACTGAATCGGTCAATATGGTCATTATAC